GAGAGAGCTTGTAGTTGTGTTGTGTGATTACTCTGTTTCTAAGTACCTGAAACAAGGCGAAATGCATGAGATGGAGAATCAACTGGGGACGACGGAACCAGAAATACTCATCGTTCCCTTGTACAAGCGGCATTCCTTGAACTACTGCGTGTTTATCAGTTATCCCGAGAGCCATCCTTGTCAAAATCGCTTGAAGTTTTGTCCCCACAGCTAAAATTATCTGAATAAAAAAAACAAAGTTTGTCAAAAAATTGTTAATGAAAAGCTCTTAAAGATAATTTTTTCTAGTGATGGATGATTTCAATGAATTACTAGAAAGATATCTTACAATAACCGGGAGTGCAGTGCCGATGTACAATGCCTTGAAGCCTGAAATACCAAACAAGGTGATTAGAACACAGTCCACTCAAGAATATATTATTATACACTGGGACTCTCACCATCAACATTTAGGAGGAGAAATAGCACAAAAGATCCCCACAGGAGCGGGCTGTAAACGTAATCATTAGTGTTGAAGGAACAAATCTTTACTGGCTTGTCTTTAAGTGTTATATGTTACCTGACTCCGACGACCAGCTGGAAATCGTCCTCCAAAGATCTTTGAATGTATTTTTGGAAGTTAAATTGACTTCCTGGTGCTAGATGAACCTTTACAAACCACAACAGAGAGATTCAGCAACGAAAACACAATAGTAAATTAACAAATGGACAGTAAGTTGAGAAACTCACAGCAATGAATCCATTTCGCAATGTCAAGTAGTCAGTTTTCCCAACGGATCTGAAAAACTGTCTAAAGAAACATCCCTGCATCGCATAGTACGTATCCAGTAAGATCTAGGTCAGAAATAGCTTTAAACTGTATTTTTGGTATGTGTTCTACATTATCTAGACTTGACTAAGAAGAGAGTATAAGCAAGAGGGCGATGATTCTTACAATATAGAAAAAGAATGGAATTCGAGTCCAGAAACTGGTGTGCGCTCTTACGAAAGACGTTTCATGAGTTAGCCTGAATCTGGAAGTATCTGTATGCAAGAACCGCAAAAACACAAAGTCAATAAACAGAGCTCACAAAGCAAAGATCAAGATGACAAACTTATGAACACCAGCATTGAGATAGAGGAGCCTCAAGGTAAAGGAAGTGCATAAGTACCTGTTGAAAACTCGTAATTATGGGATGATGTCTCTTTCTCCCAATGCTTCCATCTGCGAATCTGAAAAGACCCACAATCTTTAATACAACCAGGATTTCTGAAATCGATTCAAAACTATAAATCGAATACTTTTAAGTACCTTCAATCTCCCAAGCATCATGGTTAAGAAGCTGTAAACAACATGGAAAACAGCTAAGAAGAATATGAGGATGTGCAACTGGTGAAGTGCCTTGGCAGAGATAAGCTCTTCATAACCCTGCACATCAATAACATAAGACAATACCTCAGCAACACGCATTTTCTTCATTTCACAATCTTGGGAACAACAAGACAATATGTGATTCAATAAAAAAACATAACTCCTCTCACCTCGTTGCATCTTGTGGGAGATGCATCATCTTCTGATAGGAATCTGTGCTCAAACCACAAGAGTTTTCTGTGATTTTCCCCTTTGTCATCTTCCTCCTTTTTAAAGTGAGCGGGATCAGGGCACGGGAGCATCCTACGAGCAACATTTGCAGGGATACAAATCCTCAAAATGTAGCTTTGTCCAAATGTCAGAAGCAAAGAGATGAAACCAAGAATCATCAGCTCTGCAACAGAAAGTAAACAAATTCAACTTTAGATAATCTAACCAAGAAAATATCTAAAAAATCGGAACTTTCAGTCAAAGGGTCAAATCAGAACTTGGGAAGAGACTCAAATTTTCCAAATTCCAAACAGATCATTTCCAAAGTAATCAAAATCATTGCAATTTTTTCACCTGATTTGATCTTCTCCAAAGCATCGAGAAGAGCTCTCTTGTGCCGGTCCCATAAAACCTAAATCATGAACAAGTTTAGTTTCACTTCAAAGTATAAACATTAACCCAGAAACCTCAAAGACAGTTCCTTTTCTCGAATCGAAGAGAACCCATCTCGATTAAAGCTTCAAACTTAACATAAACAAGACTATACATAAAGAAAAATCCTACCTTTCCAACTTTGTGAAGCACTTTTTCCAGAAGTACAGAAACAACAATGAAGAAAGTGCAGACAGCAGCAACAGCCCAAGTCGGTGTCTCATTAAGCTCTCTATGCCTCACTTTCCTTTCCTCCTCCGCCGTAACAACCACCACCGTGTCTCCTCCGCCGAGCAGCAACACCCACCAGAGGCCAAGACAAATCAACCGCCGAAGCAAAGAACCGTCGATCCCCAACATAACTCCGCGTTTTCTTCAGACCAAGTTGTCTGTTTGGTGTACCTGCTTCGCTACTAAATACCGTAAGAAGTTGGCAGAGTGATGAGCTGTCTTCGCAAACACAAGGGTTTTTGGTGTTTCACGCGGTTGCAAATAAAGTCTCGATCTTTGTAGCTATTTCGAGAAACCCAAATCAATGGTGGATGCACTAGCGAAATCTGTATCCCGGATTCCCCTAATTCGAGGAAGTTTTTTTCCTTTCCTTTGTCAGAGTAAGAAGAAATGATACACTTGTTTAGGTGACAACATTTATGGTTTTTTT